GGGGGGGGGGGGGGGGGGGGGGGGGGGGGGGGGGACTGCTGCCATGTCCTCTCCCATCCTGCCAGCCTGTTCTGGCTGCCCAACTGCCAATCTCTTCCTTCCACTGCCAGCCCCCACCGAAAGCAAATGTCAGAACGTCACTTTTTATGGCATCTGAATTTAAAGCGTTCTCCTTTTTTCTTTTTTTTTTGTCCATCTTTCAGCCGCCTGTGTCTGGGTGGCGTTCCATTTTTTCACACCTCCCTGTACTCCCAGATAAAAGCCAGGGTCAGATATCTCTCATTAGGGGCGCCCCCGCCACCTTCTTCTGCCCGGCAACAAATTCCCCCCCCCTCTCTGGGTTTTTCTGCCTTCCGAAATGTGCCCCAGGGTCATTTTAGCGCCACCGACTTTCAGCAGACTGGAGGTGAAATTGGAGGGGATGGGCTTTTAAAGGACACGTGGCTCATTAAAGGGAACGGGCCCAGACCTCCATCATATGTCAGGAAGCTAAAAAGGAATGGGATCCTTAAGTGCTGTCAGTGGAAAATTCTTGATTTCCTGTCAACCTAACTCATAAGCTTTTATCATTGATTCCTCTTATGTTTGACAAATAGAAATAAATGCATGTCTATTTTGTATTCACAATTTTTTACATATTTTTTATACAGATGTTGAACTCATTGAAGTTATTTTTAAATGGGTGCCACTATATGAAATAGGCAATAAATTGTAGGTTTATTTCATCAGTGAATTAATTTTTTGTGCAGCCTTTTTAATTTCTCACAGGATAAACTAGATGGTTTCATTCATATGCTACATCAATGCAAATGTTTGCATTTTATCTACAATATTTGCTCTTCTTTTCTCTACGCTTTTAATCTCGAGTGCAGGAAAGTGAAAGCCGTATATTCATTTTTTGTGTGTTGAATCATTTATTAACTGATGTTCTCTTCTGTTTCAGTATTATGAAATGTCCTATGGCCTTAACATTGAAATGCACAAACAGGTGAGTCAGTGCTCTGTTTTTCTCCCTTATTTTGCCATATTTTCTTCTATTTTTTAGCTTGTAAATAGTAGTTACAGTAACACTTCCTGCCTGCTTTTTCCACCAATCATCTCTGGCTCCGAGAGTGAAGAATGTTTTCAGGAAAGGCCGTCTTGTTTTTGATTATTAAGTCAATTATCTGACAGACTTCCAGAGAAATGTGGCGCTGTGGAGGCATTAATAGGATTCACAAACAAAATTAATTCCCCATCGATGGACAGCCGAGCATGTTCCGCCCGTCCGTCATGCCCATCGTTAATCTCTCTTTTACCCCCCCCTCTGCCCTTCCATCCTTCCACCCATCGCTATCATTCTTATCTCATTTCCCTTCGCCTCTTCCCTTTTTTTCATCTTCCTCCCCTCTATTACTGTCTTTCTCCTAATGCTCCTCTGTCTTAATTTGTAATTTTTTTTTCACCATCCCTGTCTAACCTTCTTACATTGATTTATTTTTTTCCCCCGTATCTCCCATTTTCCTTCGCGCCCCCCCTCCTTCCACCGCCGTCTCCTCGCAGACACGGTCCACGCTGAATTTCACTTTAAATCCGGTCACTGCTTTTCCTGCCGTCTCCTCTCTCTCTCTCTCTCTCTCTCTCTCTCTCTCTCTTCGTTCATTTCACCACCTCAATCGCTTTGCTTTTGACATGCCTGCTTCCCCTCTCATTTTTCCACCCCTACATCCTTTTTCTGTTTCTTCTCCCCCCTTCCAACATCTTTCCTTCGGTCGGCTGTCATTTCCTCAACACAATCTGGGCCTCTTCTTTCCTTTTCCCCCCTTCTTCTGCCTCCCCCTTTTCATTTCCACTCTGGTTTGGCCCTCCCATCTTTATTCTCCTTCTTTAGATTGCTCTTGTTCTCCCCCTTCTCGACCCTTTTCTCTCCTGGAGATGTCATTTAGTACTTGGAGATCTCTAACAAGAAATCATTGTGTCTCCCTTGGGGTGGAGGGGGTGATGGACTCAGAGGAAGGAGATGGGGGGGAGGCGGGGGGTGAGAGCAAGTTAGGGGGATGAGGGAGGAAGAGCAAGAAAAAAGGAGGGGTGGAAGTTCAGTCTGCCATCAATAAATCACTTAAGAGGGAAAGAGGACAGGGTGAGTGTGGGTATCCATACAAAAAAAAACCCCGTTGCATGCACATACACTCTTAAAACATGCGTGCACACACACACGCACGCGCGCACACACACACACACACACACACACACCAGAGTGTAGCTGTCAACAAGATAAGCAGCCTGCAGCCATAATGATGTTGTCATGATCTCTGCATGCATATCATTACGGGCCGTAATGGCCTCGTCGGGCCCGTTGCGCGGCGTGTGTTTGTGCACACGTGCATGTGCGTGCATTTTAAACACAACGGCGCCGGTATTAGTCAGGAGCCAAATGAAGGCCGGCCCGGTATGGACGCCGGACGCATGAAAAAGGGGGAAATCGATGGAGCGGGACTGGACGACGAGGGAAGAGCCCACGATTGTTGTTGCGTTTTGAAGCAGATTGAGGCAGACACACACGAGACACACACGAGACCCCCCCCCCAGCAGGAAACACGCACACTCAAGCATGCGAAAATACAAACGCAACCCCCGTATACGAGGCAGACACGCGAGGACGCATACAAAACGTGTACACAAACACGCACAAGATGGCGATTATTGTGTCTGCTTTCCGTCTAGCTGTCTCTGACACACACACACACATGCACACACAAACGCACACACACACACACAAACGCTCTGTGTGGGCTAGCTGTGGCCACAGCAGATGCTGTCCATGAATATTTTAGCCAAACTCTGGCAGAGTTTCCATTTGCATGGACCAGATGTAAGCGGCTGAAATATTTACCACGCTGGCCCTGCAAGGAGCAGGCCACAGACACACACACACAAGCCTGTGTGTGTGTGTGTGTGTGTTAGTCTTCCTTTTGTGTTCATCCTCAATCTTGGCTGTGTAATTGTTTGTATGTGTTTATTCATCAAGCTTGACAGTATCTTTTTTTTTTCCCCTTTCAGACGGAGATTGCGAAGCGGTTGAACGTGATCTGCGCTCAGCTCATCCCCTTCCTCTCACAAGAGGTGGGACACACACACACACACACACACACACACACACACACATTCTCCATCGCATTCAGTATTCCGTCTCTGCTTTTATAAGAGCGACCCGAGCACAAGCGCACTCGCGCGTATTTCTGCCACGCAGACGCGCAGATGGACTAGAAAACTTCAAAGCCCATTCATTTTTTTCCTCAGACACCAGATGGTCGCACACAGTTGCACGACACAAAAAAAAAAAAAAAATAAAAAAAAAAAAAGCGATGAAACCTCAACGTCAGGGATGCTTTTTCGACTAAAATCGGATCGGAAAATCCAAGAATTGGTGCATGTGAGCCTGAACCGGCTTTAAAGATGTCTCTCTTTGTCCCACAGCATCAGCAACAGGTGGTCCAGGCCATGGAACGCGCCAAACAGGTGACCATGGGGGAGCTAAATGCTTCGATAGGGGTACGTGGGCTCCCCCCTCTGCCTCCTAGCGTGTGTATCTTATACTCCGTATTTTAATTTAGATTTCTTTTCTATTCACTTTGCAAGGCAAATTTCCAATTTTTTCCCCCCAGATCTAAAATATGCGGACAAATCGGGTTCAAACAGACCCCGATTTTTCAAACGAGGGATTTGATGTAAGGTCAAGTGTCTCTTCAAGGCAAAAAAATGAAAAATCTTACAGTCAGTGACCACAAGCTAAATTGATTACGCTTTTTTTTCCCCATCTCAGTCCAGATGATATTCCTGGGAAATGTAAACGGCTTTAAAGCAAATTGTCCCTTCATTTTAAATTCCAGTTTTATCCGGTTTGACTCAGAATATCTGGTCCTCTCACGCACATCGAGCACTTAGTTCCCTTCCTCTATTTCCTCCTTTCTGTCTCCTTGACCACTTCTGTTGATCCACTTCCTGCATTTACTCGTAAAGTCACCCGGATCTCTCTCTCTCTCTCTCTCTCTCTCTCTCTCATGTCTCTTTCTTTCTGTTCGGCTTCTTCTGCCCCCGTTTTTTCCCTCCCAGCAGCAGCAGCTCCAGGCCCAGCACCTGTCCCAGCACGCCCAGGGTCTGCCGGTGGGCCCGCACCCGTCGGGACTGGCCCACCCGGGGCTGGCCCTCGGCGGGGGTTCGGGGCTCCTGGCCCTCTCCGGGGCCCTGGGGGCCCAGCTGGCCGCCAAGGATGAGAGGGTCCACCTGGAGGCGGTGGCCGCCGCCGCCGCCGAGCACCACAGGGGTACGGATAATTAGATTTTACGAGAGCACAAAGTTCAATTCAGTTCAATTTTATTTCTATAGCGCCACATCACAACAACTATTTGTCTCACAGCGCTTTCCAAACAGAGCAGGTAAGACCCTACTCCGAAGTTGACTCATTGACTGCCAGCCATTTTCAAAACAGAGAGTCCCATACTGCCAGAGTTTTTTGAGCATTTTGATTGATTTTTCAAGAGACACAGAATAATTTGTGCTATGACTATGTAAACACCGAACACACCAAAAGAAAGAGTAGACTCTCTTCTTTCATCAGGAAAAAAAAATTTGTTTCTACCTTATTCCGTTCTTCCTCGACATGCGTCTCACCATTGCGTTTTTTTTTTTATTTGCCTACAATCTATGCTAATCTCCCATCCAAAGTGGCACAGCTACCTATAGGGTAAATTTGTTCGTACATACTCTGTCTAGAAGCCGATATTTACGGAAAAACTTTAGCTGATCGTCCCCCAGCCACTCACGTTGAAAAACACATTTGGCAGCGAATGAGTTAATTACAGAAACCCAACAATTCCCACCATGAGCAAGCACTAGGCGACACAGGCAAGGAAAAACTTCCTTTTAACAGGCAGAAACCTCGAGTAGAACCATGGCTCAGGGTGGGCGGCCATCTGCCTCGACCGGTTGGGCGTGAGGGAAAGAGGGCAAGAGAGACAGGGCGAGAGAAGTAGACTAGTTGAAAAATGGCAATGATATTAATACTAATTATAATGGTAGAAGTTATGACGGCAACAGAGCAGGAACACGGGGGCAGCAGGAAACTCCCAACCACAGATCCAGACTCCACAGCTCTAGGAACACCTTAAGTCTACTCTTAAATATAGAGACGGTGTCTACTTCGCGAACCCAAACTGGAACCTGGTTCCACAAAAGAGGACTCTGATAGCTGAACGCTCTGGCACCCATTCTAGTTTTCAAGAGTCTAGGAACTGCCAGTAACCCTGGCAGTTCTCTGGTAGGGCAGTAAGGTACTAAGAGCTCTTTAAGATAAGATGGGGCCTGACCATGAAGAGCTTTGTATGTAAGGAGAAGGAGTTTGTACGAAAGTGTGGAAGTTTTTGGCTAGAACGAGATTTTTGACATGGAGACGTGGGAATAGGCTGTGTGGGGTTGCCTCGGGCTATTTTTAATTCGTTTTAGTCGTCAGCCACAGGGTGAACATGAACATATGTCTAATAATTTAGCATTTGTGTGTGTGTTTTGTGTGTCCTTGTGTTGTTTGCCGTCCGCCCGCCTGCCCCGTCGATGCGTTTCCCGGGGACGAACAGACCGTGAAGCGGGACCAGTGAGTACAAATGACACATTTAGTTCAATTCAATTTTATTTATATAACCCCAAATCACAGCGACAATTATCTCATAGTGCTTTCCCAAAAAGAGCAGGTCACATAACAATTCCTATAAATCCATCCATAATGAAAAATACAGCCATATTTTGCCACATTTTCCCTCATAGTTATATCAAAGTTCTAGAAAAACCCAGGTAGAGAAATGAGTCTCAACTCCTCAAATGCTGTTATGAAATTATTTATATTTGTTTTTTTATGCGAAAATACCAATGATGCAGATTTTACCAGCTTTGTACAGCGTGTAGTGATTATATTTGATGGTACAATTATTATGTGAAGGTAATAGTGATTCAGGGGCTGGTGACACACCACAGTTGCCTCTGCTGCTTTAAAGAAAACTCTTCCTCCCCCCCGCCCCCCCCTCAGAGTCGGCCAATCAATGCAGCCTGATATTCTTTCACATTCATTTCTGCGCCCGACATGATTTATGCAGTCTTTCTCACCTCATTATCACCCTCTTCCTCCCTCGCCCCCCGCCCCTTCATCCTTCCTACCTCCACCCCACCCCCCATTGCTTCTCAATTCAATCCCCTTCCCTCCTGATTCATTCCACACACACTCCCATCTCTCCAGAGCTCTCTGTCCAACGGGGATAAGGGTCGCGCGGCAGACTACCTCAGCAACGGAAAGAAGAGGAAGGCTGATGAGAAAGAGTTCATGACAGACTATGTGAGGATGCTTTCATAAACCTTTTTACTGTTTGAGAATCGGAAGAAAAGTTTTACCTAATTCTGCTTTTTTTGTTTTTCTGTAACATTCTTGCATCACACTGCTGAATCTGCTGAAAAATCCGATTTTTAAATATTTTTTTCAATCTTAGAGGGTTTAATTTAAGTGAGACATATTGTTGTTTTAATATAAGTCCAGAATAATGAGTCTTTTGGACCAAAAACTATTACAGATCTGCTCCTCTGATGTCATTACATGTATTTTTGTTTGTTTGTTTGTAATTGATGTCCCATTTAAATGTTGGGATGCGGTGAATTAAACTTGACACGGATGGCCTTGTCTAAGTTTCACCTAACTCTGCTTTTTTTGTTTTTTCTGGAACATTCTTGCATCACACTGCTGAAACTGCTAAAAAATCCGATTTTTAAATATTTTTTATCAATCCTAGAGGGTTTAATTTAAGTGAGAGAGATTGTTGTTTTAATATAAGTCCAGAATAATGAATCTTTTGGATTAAGACCTATTACCAATCTGCTCCTCTGATGTCATTACAGTTATTTTTTTGTTTGTTTGTTTGTCATTGATGTCCCATTTAAATGTTGGGATACGGTGAATTAAACTCGACACGGATGGCCTTGTCTAAGTTTCACCTAACTCTGCTTTTTTTGTTTTTTCTGGAACATTCTTGCATGAAACTGCTGAAAAATCCGATTTGTATTGTTTTTTTTATTAATCCTAGAGGGTTTAATTTAAGTGAGACATATTGTTGTTTCAATATAAGTCCAGAATAATGAATCTTTTTGACCAGGAACTATTACAGATCCGCTCCTCTGATGTCATTACATATATTTTTTTGTTTGTTTGTTTGTTTGTCATTGATGTCCTATTTAAATGTTGGGATGCGGTAAATTAAACTTGACACGGATGGCCTCGTCTAAGTTGCACGTGTTTACATGGGATCTGCACACATCAGAGAGCCCAACAGGAAAATATCTCACCTCACCCCCTCTCTCTTCTCTCATAGGGCAGCGATGCGGATAAGAGCGATGATAATTTGGTGGTGGACGAGGTTAGTGAGCGGCCGCCGGCCTCTGTTCTCTTCACTTGACCGCTTTCATCAGCATACATCATGTAAACACACCCGGCAGGACCATATGAATAGTAATAACAGTAATCCCCGGCTGCCCTCTTCTGCGTCTACCTGCCCTCATTTAAGGTGCACACACACACACACAACCAAGAAACACAAAGCAACGCTGTCTCCACTGCAGTGGGAGCCGCCGGGATATTTTTAAAAAGTCCTCTGCGGTGATCCATAGACGAAGAGGAGTCAAATTAACTGATGGAGGAGAAATCGACTCAACTTATAACCCTCCGATTTTCCTCCAGAATTCGGTTATTTTAAATATTTCTTTACATTTTAAACCCAAAAGCACAGTTAGAATGGTGACAAACCGTGTCTCAACAGCACTTCATCATCGACAATGAGCCAATAATATATGTTGTGCACTCTAGTTGAACTCGAAAGTCAAAAGTTCTCAGTTCAGAAACGGTTTCAACTAAAATTGCGCTTGCTGCCATCTTGGATTTCCTGCTGTACTGTATGTCGGAGGTATTTCTCCAACCCTGACCTTATAATATAACCTAACTGCAACCTACAGTCCTTAAGATGATTTGGTAGCCACACCAACAACAGATTTGCCTAAAGATCAGATTAAAAAAAAATCAAAACTGATGGATGAACCTTCGAAATGGCTTGTATCTGTGGTATTTAATATTCTAGCTTTAGTCACCCTCGAGCCATTAATCGAAAAATGTTGGCTCTTTTCTACTCACTTTATGATATAATTGAAGAGCAGCATTTTTTTTTTTGCGCATTTCAGTTGGTTTGGAATAAATAAAATGAAGAGTAATGGAAGTGAGCTGTAAAAGGGAATACTGTTCTTCTTTTCAGGAGCTCTGAATGAGCGTTAGAGTTGGTTCCCTTGTCTCACTTAACTTTTAATTTGCTTGAATAAAAGGAATAAAAGTAACATTTACAGCTCTCTGCTCTTCAATAGATGAAAAGGTTCATCCAAAGTTCAGAACGCTTCGGTCTTATTTCAAATATCTTTTTTTTTTTCTTTTACGATCTACTCAGGACCCGTCATCCCCACGAAGTGTGCAGTCCTACTCATCCAGGGAGAACGGTTTGGATAAGATGCCCCCATCTCGAAAGGAGGGACCCCCTCAGGCCAGCCCCACCTCCCTGGCTTCATCCAGCAGTGCCACCTCCCCCTCCCGAGGGAAAGAGCCCCCGCAGGTAGTTTCAAATTTATTTTTTTAAAACATCTCCTTTTGCACATGCAGCCACATCCCAGCTTTAACACCTTATTCCGGATTCAAGGAGTTTTATTGTCATTTTGGTTAAAAGTTAAAAGGTGGAAAGAAATGAGTTCCTCTGGTCCCACAACAGTCAGAAAACAAAGTATAAAATAGAATCAAAAGAGAAATATCTTCAAATAATTAAGAAAAAAAAAAATGTGAATAAAATCCCTTTAAAATGTCTTTCGCTCAATCTCTTCTGCTAAAAAAATAAATAAAAGTGTAGCTGTGTAGTATATGTGCAAATTATTCAAGATGGTTTACTAAAAAAATAGTAGGTAATCGGCTGTTTTTCTTTGGGGGTTTTCTCTAAATGATCATGTTTGATTTTTTGGAATTCCACCCACGTGCGTTCTTTTCTGTTCTGATATGACTTTCATTTTTCCTGTTTCCTTTTCCCCGCTCCAGAGGGAGAAGTCCAGCACTCCGGGTATGAAGCCAGGTACCCCCATGTCTCAGGACTCCAACACTCCGGGACCGAGTGGGCCGCCGCAGTTCAGACCGGTCCCAGGAAAGCCCGGGGTGGACCCCATCGGTAAGTTCCAGACTTTAAAAAAATAATCGGAAAAACCTCCTGAACGGAATGCGTTTTATAGCCCGTGCTGGCCTTGTTGCGCAAATCGGTCCCATCCACACACACCAACCATTTGGTACGAGTGTCATCTAGCTCCCCGCCACCGGCCGCCATCTGGCATTAATAAGCATCTGTGGGCAGAAATATTCCATTTTAAATGGAAATGATTAGACTAGGTGATGGACTGTGAACTGTTTTATAATGAGCCTCCGTCTATTCCGGTGTGTGTCCTTCTTATTTTCACGCATCATCTGTTAGCTCTGGATTCAGTTTGGCACACACACACACACACACACACACACACACACATTCTGTGTCTGCTGGCATGCAGACAGATTCCATCGACACACACACGTGATGTAAAAGATGTTTAGTGAACTCGGACGTCCACGTCCCACTGCAGGGAGTTGTACTGACCAGCAGGGGTCAGTAGTGGTCCAGTGCTACAGTTCTCCTGTCTTTTCCTTGAAGGTTTTTTTCAAAGCTTTTGTACTGGGAGCCCCCTTAATAGATTGTGTATCTTAATCCAGCTTGGGTTAAAGCTTACTTGGAACCGTCCTCGAGTGATGGAAAGTGTGAAATGTTCGCTTTAGTCTTTTCTATTTTTAGTGTAAGAATTGAAAACGTCTTTCATCCCCCTCCCACCTCCAGCTCTGGGTCTGAGGAACCCCCTGGCGGTGCAGGGGGCGTACCCCCCGGGGGCTTTCGGCCTGCCCCCGCCGGGGGTGAACGGGGACCTGCCCGGGTCGGGGGGCTACGGCGCCGGCCTCCACCTGGTCTCCCCCCAGATGAACGGCGCGGCGGCAGCTGCTGCCGCTGCTGCAGGCTATGGCCGCTCCCCTGTGGTGAGTCTGCAGAACCCCGTATACACACACACACTGCTGTGTGTGCATATAGTAGCTTCAATACCACACTACAAGTATTAAACACACATACAGTATATACAGTGGGGGAAATAAGTATTTGACCCCTTGCTGATTTTGCAGGTTTGCCCACTTACAAAGAATGCAACGATCTATAACTTTAATCATATGTACATTCTAACAGTGAAAGACAGAATCCCAAAGAAAATTCCAGAAAATCACATCATATAAATTTATGAAAAATTGATAACCATCTGATGAGGAAAAATAAGCATTCTTTGTAAGTGGGTATCTAAGTATGTACCAAGTATATCAGTATATGTATGTATGTATGTATGTATGTATGTATGGATGGATGGATGGATGGATGGATGGATGGATGGATGGATGGATGGATGGATGGATGTACATATATATATAATATATATATAATACGCATATAAATGTGCATGTGTGTGTATTGTAAGAACACAAATCTTTAACATTTATTTGTTGTTATCACCTAAATTGTCTCCCAGGTGGGATATGAGTCTCCCCACACACACATGAGGGTCCCTGGGCTTCCTGCCAGCCTCCAGTCGGCTTCAGGGAAACCGTAAGCTTCCTCTTCTTTTGCCCCTTCACCCAAATCTTCCCCTGTTCAGCGCTATCCTTCCCGAAAAGCCCCAACCCTCTCAGATTGGTGTGTTTCACAGGCACATGGCTGATGCTTTAGTGTTCTCTAAGTGGGGGACATTTCAAAATAGCCCATAGGGAAATGACAGACTACAGTAAAAAACCTGGGGATTGTTCAATATCATCCAGTTTTGGACATTTTTGTCTACCAAGAAAAATATCTTGCACGTCCCACAAGCTGTGAACAAAACCCAATGTTAAAATTAATTCATGATAAAATTTTTTCCTTCATCTGTCTGTAGCTTTTAACTAATTTCCACCCCCCGACCTCCCCCCAGGGCCTACTCTTTCCACGTGAGCGCGGACGGTCAGATGCAGCCGGTGCCCTTCCCCCCGGACGCCCTGCTGGGGCCGGGCATCCCCCGCCACGCCCGCCAGATCCACACCCTGAGCCACGGCGAGGTGGTGTGCGCCGTCACCATCAGCACCTCCACGCGCC